ATCACACCACGGGCCTAAACCTTAGACCCTAAACCCCGCACGCTAAACCCTAAACTTTACTTAAACTGTAACCCCAACCACACCCACACCACAGGGGCCGGGTAGGCCCTAAACTGTAAATCTTAAACCCTAAACCCTAACCGCCCTTCCACGGGGGGGGGGGGGGGGGGCGCTGGCAGCCCGAGACCATATATATACATATGTGTGCATTATATATCAATTTATATACATACATATACATTTATGTATATATATATATATATGTAAATAATCGAATGACTTTGTTCATACACGGTTGGGGTTTAGAAGCCATGCAAGTTTTGGTCTTGACTGGGGGTTGAGAATTCCTATTGCGACCGCAGCACAGGCTGAGCAACGATGGCCTTGAATCCTGTCTTGGTGACTTCTGTCAGTCGAACGGATGCCGGCCCTGTTACCTCAGCCAGGGATGGAATACAGCCGAATTGGTCTTGCAGCGATCGTTTTATGGAGTGCGACTCGCACTGTTACGGATTAACACTATTGCCGCAACCGAGCGCCATCCTTGAGGCAACTGTAAGAGTACCATGAACACACTCTTGTTCTTGCCACTTGTGCCCAGGACATGCCAAGAAACTTCATCCGTCGGGGTTGTCACGACAATGGGCACTTCTCCGAACGGCTTCTGGAAGGTGACGGTTGTCCACGCCTGGGTCGTTATTGTGACCTGACGGACCTCCAACGAGGCAACTCCTGCGGCGGCGGTGGTGGTGGTGGTGGTGGTGGTGGTGGTCGTCGTCGTCGTGGTGGTCGTGGTGGTGGTCGTGGTGGTGGTGGTGGTGGTGGTGGTGGTGGTGGTGGTGGTAGTGGTGGTCGTGGTGGTGGTCGTTGTGGTCGTGGTGGTCGTTGTAGTGGTGGTGGTCGTGGTGGTCGTGGTGGTCGTCGTGGTGGTCGTGGTGGTCGTGGTGGTCGTGGTGGTCGTGGTGGTCGTGGTGGTCGTCGTGGTGGTCGTTGTAGTGGTGGTGGTCGTGGTGGTAGTTGTAGTGGTGGTGGTCGTGGTGGTGGTGGTGGTGGTCGTCGTGGTTGTAGTTGTAGTCGTTGTAGTTGTAGTCGTTGTCGTTGTAGTCGTTGTCGTTGTTGTCGTTATTGTCGTGGTGGTGGTGGTGGTGGTGGTGGCCGTGGCACCTTTGCGCCTGGCACGGCATGGTAGCTGTAATCAGTCCGAAACAGAAACGACAGCTCTTGTAGCAGTGTGCTTTGAGGCTGCCTCAGAAAATCCATGAAAGGAGCTATAACCCGGCCGCCTTCATGTTCGCTGTTGGAGGGTCGGCCTTCCATTTCAAGGCTCTATCAGAACCTGGCCGTGTCTACCCATGCTCTTGCCTGGGCGGCATTGGAGTGGAGGGTTGTTTAGGCAAGAAGCTCGAAGCCCCGTAGAAGGCCCCCCCCCCCTTTTTCGCCGCGGAAACCGAGTGAGAGATTGAAAGCTGAGCCTTTTAGCTGTGAGGGCGCGAAGACGGGAGATCCATGGCTGCTGGGGGGCCTTTTAAAGGGCCTCCTCGCAGCAAAGACAAGAGATCCGCAACCATTCAGAAGGGCTTCAGTTCCACACCTCGTGAACCTGCAGAGCCTTAGTTACTCCTTAGTTGCCTCCAAACCGTCAAGAACTGTGCCGGTGGTGCTTGCAGTTGTACATGTCCTGGATCTGCAAGATGTCACCTGAGTGGTGACTTGCCAAAGGCTACTCTCTTTCTTGTATGCGAAAAGGCTAGAGACTTGGTGCTGGTGCTGGTGCTTCTTAAACAGTGAAGAAGCTCCGTGACTTCACATACCGAAGAAGTAGGAAAGAAGTTTCAAGTCGAAGGGTTCTGAACTCCAAAATCCGAGAGACCTAAAGGGAGTTAGGGGCTCCCTTCATTCCTTCGCGAGATAACGAGCTACTCTCTAAGTCATATTCAGAACTTGCTGAAGAGATAAAGGAGAGCTGTCTTCATTTTTACTGAGGGCAAGAGAAATTTGTCATGCTCCTTCCTTGCTAGTGAGAAACAGATTGGAGCTTTGACTCCCTGTTGCTTTTGTTCATAGCGAGACAGACTCTGAATTGCTTAAAAAGGTAGACCCCAGGTAGAAAAACTCCAAAATCCGAGAACGACTCCTCGAAAGCCCTAACACCGACGGAATGAAAAAGCTGGATGTGATTACAAGCACTGCCCACGGCCAGCAAACAAGACCGGTGTAAGTGCAAGATTTGCTTGGTTGGGGAGTGACGCAAGGGGGCCTTGGTAGGTTAAACTTTCCTGTCTTGCGGAGTAGTCTGAGTAGTCTCCTAGGGGTGGGGAGGGCCGAGGCAGGGGGGGTCTGCGAAACTTTTCCCACTTCCCTGCACCCCCCACCCAAACCCCAAAACCCTCAACCTTCAACCCTAAGCCCGTCAACCCTGTCCGCCTGCCGAAAGGTGCCACCGCTGCCCGACGACGGAATTGTAGCCTGGGTGGTAAAAGAAAGACGTTTTGACTTGCTTCTCACGAGCTCGGTACGTCAGAGAAATGAAACCAAACTAAGCAATGCAAGAAGCTGGGAATTGTCAATAAAACCGGAACGAACACTCACAGGCACTCATATAATGGCACACAACTCAGCGCACCCTCGTCATAATCCACCGTACAAAATCCTGAGCCCTACCCCCCCCCCCCCCCCCCCCCGCCCCCCCACCCAAAAATCTCGGCTGAAAGCTCGGCATCTAGAAGGGTTTCGGGTGGGGCCAACAGCAAACACCTATAAAAACCTTAAACCCGAATAAAAACCCAAAACTTCACCCAAATGCTCTCAACCCCAAAAACCTGCGACCATCAGGCTATCAAGCGTGTACCCGAAAACATCGAAAAAAAACCTGCAATTTTTGAAGTTGCCCCCAATTTTTCGAAGACGAGGGAACCAACCTATGGAGGAAAGTTCGATCCAAAAAGTAATTCCCGGAGTGTTCGCCGGATACGTCGCCAACGCAGGGCAAACATGGTCTTGGAAGTATCCTGTTTCATGAAGGAATTCGCGCTGGCGAATCTCTCGAAAATGACGCCAAAGCCCCAAGGAAGCTACAAATACCTTACGTCACGAAGCGCGTGGTCGTACCCGACGTATTGGAGTTCCCACTAAAGTTATACGAGGAGGATGAACGCTTCAAGGGACTTTGAGAGAACACGAAGCTTCATGGAAAAAAGGTCAAGGATCTTCCGAACGCCCTGGACGACGACGATGGCGAGGTCCCCCACCATGAAATGATAATTTGAGGGAGCGCTGTGGGCAGAAATGGGGTCTGTTTGCCGGCACGCAGAGACCTAACGAGGATTTTGTGTCGAGCACATGGAGCCACCCCCTCCCCCCCACCAACATGCAGAATCTCCATAGGATCTCCATAAACCCGAAATCCAACCCTAAACCCTTAACCCTAAACCCAGAGCCCGAAACCCTCAAACCCTAAACCCTAAACCCTGAACCCGAAACCCTAAACCCATCTGGGCCCCACTGCTCGATGGCACGGTGTCATAGTAAGGCGCTGCAGCTCCCCCTTGGCGCGGATAGTGCATGATGCTTTCCTTGGCAAAGGGCCAAGTGAGGGAAAGCAGGGTTTAGGGTTTAGGGGGGACTCTGCAAACAAATGAGGGACATTAGATCTTGTCCGCTTGTGTACCCAATTTCAGAGCTTCAGATTTCACGTGGAGGTGTGAGTAGTTGTTGGCACGGTTTAGGTTTCAGGGGTCCACAAGGTTGGGGGCAGAGCACCCGCGCTCACTTTTTTCTCTTCGCGCATGCAGCTCTGCTGTCTGTGGCAGCAAGATCCAGTTTCTCATGCCGCGCACTCCAGCAGAACGAATACCAATACAGACCAGCACCAGGGCACGACACTGCACAAAAGTGCTCAGAAACACTCTGGCAACGTGCCCTCTGGGCATCTGTGGGCTCGCAGCAAGCTCAGAACTCGTCTCCGTAGCCTTCTTCCTCACCTTCGCCCTCTGCCTGAGTGCTGTCGTCAACATCGGCGGTGGGACGGATTTGCTAGCTGCTAGCACACCCTTCAATTTCCTCCTTGAAAGCTCCGTAAGAAAACTGGGCAAAGCTGGAAGAGGCGGAAATCCGGACAAATGACCCAGTATAAGGCCTTGCGGGTCTCTAGTTAGATTTTGTCGATCACAGGAACCAGCGAGCTGAGCAACTGTCGCCTGTGGCCACGACCCCTCTGCCAGAAACCCAGAGTTCGGCTCTTGCTGACCCTAAGGCCTAAGCCCCGAGCCCCCCAAGCCCCGAGCCCCCAGCCCCAAGCCCTGAACCCAAAGACGGTGCTAGAACAGTCATAACAGGGCGAAGAGGCCGTCTCGATGCCCACCTGCGCGGCTTTGGGCCCCCCCTGAAGGCCCTCAAGGCTTGGAGCCCCTTGGCCCCAAAGCCCTGCACCTTTTGCACCTTTGGGTTCCGAAGCTGAACCCCAACAGCTCTCCCCTTCAGGTCATTGAGGTCAAAAACCCCAAGTCTGAGCGTGATTTAGGTCAATCCAGGCAATGAGAACAGGAAGGCGGGGTGCTTGACAACACGTATATGTCATGTATACTTGGATGTGCATATGGAATTCTTCAACGGGTGGTATGGTTAACTGTTGAAGCACAACACCCTTTGAAACCCCAATAGCCAGGCAAAAGCCCCCCCCAACCGAAACCCCGAATCTCCAGTCGCCAAAGAGCCCCTTCCCAACCCTGAATCCTAGATCCTAAGCCCTTAGCCTAAACCCGAATCCAGCGGCCTCCTCGTAGTCCTTCTCCAGGGCAGCCAGGTCCTCAACAACGAATTTGCAAAGGGGCCAACCCTGCCCTGAACCTTCAACCCTCAACGCAGCATCCGTCACTGCACAATGCCGGCCAACGCTGGGTCGCGGAGTCGGAGTGGGAAAGAAGCCCCTCCCCGTGATCTGATATGGAAAATTCTCAAGAATAAGGTCCCTTTTTGGGGTACCCTAAATAAGAGGGGCCGCCTTACAATCCCGACCCCAAAAGGGACCCTAATTTAGAGAAATGACCATATCGCCGCACTTGATGCTTTGGATTCAGACCCAGGTCCTCGCGGGCCTCCGAGAATTCGCCTTCTTCCATTCCTGTGCCAGTGCAGGGCTTGGGGAACAAAACCCTTCAAAGCCTTCAAAGCCCTCCAAGCCCTCAAACCCATAAAATCCCTAAGACCCCTCAAACCCTTCGAAGCCTAAACGCGGGGGCTTCCCGGTGGAGACTTCAGGTTTTGGGGCTCGGAGTTGAACCACAGCTATCTCCCGTCTTCCTCGCTGTGCCGAAGATTTTACATCACCCTGTCCAGAAGGCGCCTGCGAAGACGTTTCGAGTTTAGACCCCCCCCACTATCACATGAACCTTATAAGCATCATGCTTGGGGTCCTTCGCCCACGTAGTGGTGGACGAAGGCACGCTTCCTTGGTGTGTCACAACATCCTGCAAGCAGAGGGTTCGGGCGTGAAGCAACTCAGGGTTTCTTCATCGTGGTATTTCACTTGAAGCTGCCGAGGTGCGAGTACATGAGGTCGAACTTGTGGTCGATGCGCGAGAAGACTTCCTCGGCAGGATTCTCACCACTGTGCAGTGGAGAAGGCCGGTTCTTGCTTTGAAGCCCCAACCCAGAAGAAGGGACTGTTGTGGCGGGTATACGAACGCTACAACAGCCCTTTCTGTAGGTCCAGCCCAAATGATGAATCCCCAACAAACTCTGTGGCAACAGAGAAGCTCCACCGGACTTAATTTCCCAACTTTTTTGCCAAAGGTGCTCCTGTTTAGCTCAGCTTACACGTGAGACTTATGCCCTAAGACGATCGTGCGAGCATGTTGAGACGCGGGGCGGCAATGGCAGTGGAGTTTGAGATCATGCAGCATGCGCGCATGACCTTTGCCAGGTCTCCACCTCAGGGCCACAGAAGAGCCAGAGTGTAGGGCAATGGGCATCTTGTTCCAAAGAGATGACATGTCCTACCCTCCCTTGCAAATCAAGCTTTGAAAGGTCCCTTATACATCTCAGAACGAACCAGGACTGGCATTGCAAGGAACACGTAAACCTTAGGATGAGCCCCCTCGCCTGGAACCACAGTGGGGGGCTGGTAGTTGATGCCGCACTTGAAGCCCGTGGGGCACCAGTCCTTTGAGAGTCTCGGGGTTTCGGGGAGTTCTCGGGGCATGTTCGAGAACGTTTGGGCACTTCGATGCTAGTTTCAGAACGAACCATCTTCAGCTACATTGATCTGAATGTTGGATCCCTTGTCCGTACCCTGGGCTCAGATTTCGAACCCCATGTAGCGTGAGCTTTGACCCCGGGGTCCACGAACTGGATGGTGCGCTTGGTCTTGATGGTGGCCACGGCCGCGTTCACATCCTTGGGCACCACGTCGCCACCTGATTGAGTAGCTTGGGCTCAGGCAATGCCCGAAAGGTATGGAGGATTCCAAACTCATGGTGCAAGGCAGCTCAAGGTGCTACTTTGAACTTCGGCTGCTGGGCGCGGCGCGGTACATCATGCAGCAGGCCATGTACTTGCCGTGTCGCGGGTCACACCTTCATGATTATGTGGAGGCAGCCACGATGAACACCCGCAAAAAAGGGAATATTATTCAGCACGCGAGCATGAGGGAAATTCACCTTAATCCGCAGTTTATCATTAGCATTGACTGGAGTTCTATGATAACTACTATTTGGATGTAGCTGCCGCAACCTATCTCTCGTCGAGGCCGTGGAAGCACACGCTCAAGGCGAGCAAAAGAGGGCGATCCGATGGATCAGGATGCGATATATCAACTCCATGACGATTCTATCACACTACACTCTCCACACACACGGAGATCGTGCGTGCTATGGAATACATTTGCGAGATAACTTCCAAGCCCAAGCCGGGATGCTTCACCATCATGGAGGCCGGCTCGAACACGGACATCGTGATCTCCGCCACGGAGAGCTGCTCGTGGTAGGCCTCAGAAGAGGAGTGTCCCCATCCGATTTGGGAGGGGGGGGGGTGTCAGGGGATGTAGGGAAGGGGAAGGGGGGGAGAGGGGGGGGGCCGGGGCGTCAGGGTTTATAGATTTGTTTTTAGGGTCTAGGGTTGAGGCTCTAGGGGGGCTGGTTTGGAGAGAGGCTCTTTTTGTTGGCCTGGCCTTCTCCGCAGAGATGACGGGGGCATAGGACGTGAGCATGAAGTGGATGCGCGGGTAGGGCACCAGGTTGGTCTGGAACTCCGTGATGTCCACGTTCAAGGCCCCATCGAAGCGAAGGCTGGCCGTGAGGGAGCTGATGATCTGGGCAATGAGACGGTTCAGGTTGGTGTAGGTCGGCCGCTCAATGTCCAGGTTCCTGCGGAAGGGGTTAAGCACGACAAGGAGCTGTATGGCGTTAGCTCAAGAGCCCGACCAAGCAGAAACGCACCACATGTTAAACCGATCGGAAGCAGGTCGACATCGATGCCCCAAGACTCCTGCGGCAAATATCGTAAAGAGCTTCGTTGTCGTACATGATGGTCACATCGGTGTGCTCCAACAGGGAGTGCACGCACAGCACCTTGAGTGCACTGCCGCACTGGAACATGGTAGAGCCCCCCCCCAAAGAATAGGAAAACAAGATATATAAATAACAAGATAGCGGAACAGATATTCGCAGAGATCAGGCGCAGTGTTGTACGGCTCGACAACGGCCGTGGCCACCTGCGGGCAGCACCAGACCGTGAATGAGATCTTGCTCTTCTTGCCGTAGTCCACGGACAGGCGCCTTGGCAGCACCCAGCTGAGATGATCCCCTAATCCGAACCCTTTGAGGCGCTTCGGCTTCGTTTGGGGGGGGTGGGAGTTGGGGGAGGGGGGGGGGGTGGGGCGGGATGTTTAGAGAGGGAGGAGGTCTAAGGGTAGACTCTGCTGGATAGACTCTGCTGCCATATCTCGTCCAGGGCTTAGGCTTCGCGCTTGCATCTCTCAGAGTTTCGGGTTCAGGGTTTAGGGTCTAGGGGGTCCAGGGTCTAGGATCTATAGGGTCTAGGATTTCGGGTTTGGGCAGGTTAGAAGCCAGAGTACTGTTCGCTTGCTGGAGGACCCATTAACGTATCTTCAGTACACGCCCGTTCTGTTGCTTCCCTCCTATTCTAACTCAAGGTTCGGAGTCGTCTGTAGAAGGTTCATAAGTCTTGATCAATCATAAACCCTGAATCCTTGAGGCTTCCAAGAATTTAAGGAACTTAAATTGAGTTACCATCGTATGGATATGTGAAAGATTTGTGTATGGCTTCCTTCTTCTGGGAGCTTAGAGTAAGAGCCCAGAGCGGGCTTTAAAACCCCATGGACGCAGGCACTCGAGCATGAGGCAGCCCAAGCCGGAGCCAGTTCCGCCGCCGCAAGCCTCGGCTGCTCTCGAGTCCAGCGTCCATCGAACTCGAACTCGAGAAGTCGAAAAACATTGGGATGTTCCCCCTTAAAGTAACAGCCCTTAATGGGGACGAGAGTACCCCCCGATTTCAATCCCCATTAAGTCCTGCCAGTATAAGGGGGAACATCCCAATCTAGACAAGAGCCAAGAGCCCTCAGAAACTCTTTAATTGACTTAGTGCCTCTTCCTTTTTGGAGGGCGCAGTGGGGTGGGGATTCCCGGGCGCGGGGGGTCGAAAGAACCGCCAAGCCCGTCACTGCAGTAAAGATGGCCTCAAGGGCAACGCTGAGAGTGACGACTCCAAGAACAGCCCAAAGCACATCTTAAGATGTTCCCCCCTTATACTAACAGTCCTTAGTTGGGATTGAAATCGGCGGGGGGGGGGGGTACTCTAATCCCAAATCCCTATTAAGGACTGTTAGTATATGGGGGAACATCTCAAAGCACATCCTACATCCTGCAATACCAGGAGAACCAACCATTTAGGAACTGCACACATCGATAGCTACAGTGCGCGCATACATTAACATATGGATACAAACATCACTTTACCCAATATCTCGTACAGTATGTTGAATGCATAAACATCTATTTTGTATGTATACATACAGATACCATCTAAGGCGGCCCGTAATACTCAGGCTACCCCGAAGGAACCCTTGCTCTGAGAAGTATTTCCTATGTAGATACACAGAGAGAGAGAGAGAGAGAGAGAGAGAGAGAGAGAGAGAGAGAGAGCGAGAGAGAGGGAGAGAGAGAGAGAGAGGGAGAGAGGGAAAGAGAGAGAGGGAGGGAGGGAGAGAGAGAGAGAGAGCAAAACAAAAAAAGGGTGTGCGCGTGCATCGAAGATTTTAGACGAGGGGAAGGCTTTGGGATGTTCCCCTTATACGAACAGTTCCTTCATAGGGATTCCAGTACCCCCCACCCCCCTTCCTTATGAGAAGTCCCAACTAAGGTTAGTATAAGGGAAGAACATCCCCAAGGGGAAAGCTCCAGGTGCGGCCCCAGGGGCATTGTAGACGCAGAAGCCCTGCAAGCCGGTGCCTAGGCCCGATTGTTCGAAAGCTTAATCATAAACAGGAACCGGGTTTGGGGTTTGAGGGTTTGGTCATATGGGGTTTGGGGGATTAGGGTTTAGGGTTTGGGGTTTAGGGTTTAGGCAAAAAGTTTTTGGGGGGGTTGCTTACTATTTCTTCAAGCTCCGGCTTCTGAAGTTTCAGGAGCTCACTGGTGAGGGTTGGACCCAGCTTGCTTCTGGGCATTCAGGGTTGAAGCGCTTTGGGCCTTAGGGGTGTTTAGGGGGGGTTTATCGTTTTACGGTTTGGCTGTGAGGGTGTCTCTCAAGCGCAATGAACATTATGGCCTCTGAACGCAGGGCAGGCAGAATCATGTGACAATACAATCAATACAAGGTACAATCATTCTTGCGCGTTCTAATATTATAAGAAGACGAGCCAAGCCACAGTTGTCTGCCAGCTTGCGGATCCTCCCAACAGGAAGCACCCTTAAGGACTTCGCAGGTGCAGGTGGGAAGCTATGTGGGTTAGGTTTGGGGTTTCGGGGTTAAGGTCCGTTTTGCTCCTGCTGTCATAGCCTCATATTCACAGAACCCAACAAAGGGACTACACAACTAGGGCTGTACTTTTGTAGCCTTCCTTGAACCTTCAAGAGGGGGTCGGAGGGCCCAAGGGTTCTGGGGCTTGAGGGTTTTGAGGGCTTTGAGGGCTCTGCGGGCTCTAAGGGTCTGCAGAAGATCCGCGACATCGCTCCTGTCAAGGACCAAGTCCACGATCTCCTTCCCGATGGTATAATGCCCGCGTGCGAAGTTATTCGCCTCAGGAAATGTGTCACAGGATTCTCCTTCCTTGCTCAGGCCTGTTTTGGTTGTCGAGACGATGGGCTCAGCAAGCTTTGGTGTACAAAGTCTGGAAGGGGACGGAATTCAGCAACGTGACACTCGTTCAATATGCCCAAAAAACTGAGATGCAGCCGGGAGGCAGCGTCCTCCTTGCCCGAAATCAGCTGCTCAGGGTGGAAGAGCTGGCGGTAGGTTCCTGTGCGCACCTCGCAAGTGGTAAAGAGCCAGAGAACTTGAGTTGAGGCGAGTTCTGGCCTGAAAGCTTGCAGCTCAGACTGAGAAGCGATAAGGGCCCTAATGAAACTCCCGCACCTCATCGACGACCGTCGGCTCAAGGTCCTTTCGACGTTGTTCTTGTTATAGTTATTATTTTGCTGTCAACGCCCTGTCGACTTCTTCTAAAGAAAAACATATAGATAGATAGATACATATATGTATATATATATATATATATATACGTATGATACCGGTACCCCCCGCCCCCCCCCGCCCCACCGAGATCCACCGTTTTTGGTGGATTCTTTCACAACGAAAGAACTCGGTCTGCCTGACTTCCTTCACATCCTTCACAATGCAAACAACAAACAACTCAAGGACTCTTGCCGAGACATTTTGGAATCCCGACTCTTGGATACCCGGCCGCTTCAATTTAATCGTTTATCGATTGACTTCAACCCTTTTTCAGAATCCAAGACTGATCTTAAGAGTCCGTGCGAAATCTTGGATCCTGGATCTTGGATCCCGGCCGTTTCAACTGAAACTTTTTCGTTTCAATCGATTTTCTATGAAAGCCAAACATTGCTCATGCACACAAGCTGGTTTCTACTTCCGCTCACAGGCCTTTCAATGGGACCTTTCTGTCAGTCCATACCCTTCAATCGCAATACTGTCGCCATGTCACAGACTGTCTGCAGCAGCTAGTTTGTCAGCTTATGCAAGCAATGATGTGTGGCTTGATACGTATGTGTTTCCGTGGCGTCTGACACTTAAGGTTCTTGCGCCGAAGTAGTGCCACATCCAATTCTAGATTTGCTAGAGCAGCGGTGCTCGCGGGTGGTCAAAGTAAATGTTTTCAGCTGAAAACTGCGTACTGAAAAAAACGTTCTTGAATAAGACGGGGATTAAAGGTTCAAGGTTGCCGAGGACAAGCTTTCCCAGGCATCTTGAGTCTTGGATCCCTATATTCACAACTTTCAGAAAACCGAATACAATGAGTACCGGCCAGGGTGGGGCGGGGGCGGGGGGAAAAGTCGGCTAGTCTTTAATGAGCTTTAGTGTTTCAGGAAGCTCCTTAGGAAAAGTATTTGATGGTCAGTGAATTGGCTTAGACTTTAGGGCAGCTCTTCTGGGAATTCCGTAATTCTGCAGTGTTGCGGGAAGCCCTTGTAATGTTTTGTAGAGATCCTGTTAGTGCTCGAGCGGAGGTATTCCTAGTATACAAATAAAGCTTACGAATAGGGTTTAGGGATCAGAAACAAAGATTTGGGGCTTAGGACTGCTCAGACCTAGACCAATAAAGTTTCGAGATTGATGCTTGAAGAAATACATTCAGTACAAAATCCTTCATGAGGGAAAGTGTAAGGTTTTGGAACAGGGTGCCAGCCTAAACCTTCAACGAATCGGGTTTACAGGAAGAGGGCTTAAGCCAAAACATGAAGAGTAAAATTGAAATTGATGCTGGAGGATATACTTTCAGTACAATCTTTTATGTTTAGCGAAGTTTCTTTGGTGACGCAAAGTCTGAGATGTTGGACTAGGGTGTCAGTCCAAACCTTCAACGAATAGGGTTTGCAGGAATAGGGCTAAGCTTCAACCTTAAGGGTACACCCCGCAAGCACCCGCAGCATTCATATTCCTAAACACTATTTGAGAATAAGGACTGGGCTTTGGCGGAAATTTTTTAGTGGCTCGGGGAAATGCAAGGTTTTGGAACAGGTTGAATTAGGCTTACACCTTTACCAAATATAGGGGTTTACAAAAAGCTGAGTCCCAGTCCACCATGACGCACCGCGGGACGTGCTTGCCGGCACCAGTCTCGGAGAAGAAAGTGTTAAATGCATCATCTCCGCCTCCGATGGTCTTGTCCTAAGTTCAGCCATCTCAGCAGGCCCTTCTTTCAGGCTCTAAAGGCTGTGCTGCTCACTTTAAATGCACCAAAACAGATATTTGCGCACAGGCAAGCGGCGCTGGGCATCTGTCCATCCGGCTGAATGCCGTGCTCCAGGCAGAAGAGCTCCCAGCAGGCGTTTCCGATCTGCACGCCACCCTGTGCAAACAGTACTAAAAGCCAGGTGCGCGCGCACCCGCTGGTGAGCGTAACCCTCGAGCCCTCGTCACCCCGAACTGGGGCTCTTCTGCTACCAATGCAGGGATGCTTGTGCGCGCCTGGCCAATGTGAATGCAGATAGCCTCACGCATGGCTGCGAAGTGAGATGCGGGGGACTGCTTCGAAAGGCAAAACCACCGAGGGTGTCCTCAACCACCGCGTGATGTAGCGGCCTCAAACACCTTTCCATTGAGCCGAGACGGCGCGACGAGAGCTGAGAAAGCCCATGTCACTACAGCAGCGGCAAAGAGCCTGTGCGTCTGTTCAGCTGCTTAGTGCCCACAACAGCACCTTCACGACCCAAAGAAACCGATGGTTCCCAAAAAAGAGCTCCAACAGCCTTAAGTCCGACCCCAAGCGGCGAAGTCGTAGGGAGCGTAGCCCACGTGAACGTCTCCCTCGCCTTCGTAGCCCGAGCCCGTGTAGGGTCCTCAGCGTTCCAGGGCTTCTTGCAGCGAAGGGGGGGAGCCTTCAACCCTGGCATCCTGGCGAAGACCTCTACAGCCGCCTACAGACCCCCCCCAAAAAAAAAAAAACAAACCGCCGTAACCAAAGCCAATAACACCTAAACCCTCAAAAGACTCGCTGCAGGGGTTTCGGTTGAGAGTTCAGGGCTCTCGCGCCGAGGCCTCAGGAGTTAGGAGGGCTGAGACTTCGGAGGGTTTGGGGTTCGGGCGGGTTAAGGGGCAACGCGGCTTCAGGGTGGCTTAGAGTTTGGGGCGTTTGAGGGTTTAGGTTTTTTTGGGGGGCTCAGGGCTTGGGGGCTGGCTGTTTAGGGGAGTCCTGCATCAGGCGGATTGGAGCGCATAAGGTAGAACCCTGAGTTTTGGAAGCTCCCATTAACGACCGGCCCGAGTTTTAGAAAACACTTCTGAGCTTGGGTCCTCGAAAGCAGCATCTTTTGATCCAGTCTCACAGACATCATGACTGTTCATATGAACCGTGCGTATTGCCATGATCATCGTCGTCGTCCTTATTGCTGTTCTGATGATTCGTCTTGTTCGCATCATGATTGAAATACTCTTTGTCAATATAACTGCCACTATCACTATCATTCTCGTGATCATTTTGACTACCAGTATTATGATCAGTGCATCATGAGGATGACGTTTTGCAAGCTGGCCTCGAAAGGTTATGCAGAGAAGGTGCTGTTGTCTGGGGTGTACTGCCCGACCCAGGTGGAAGCCACGTTTTCCCAGTACCTCAGCAGCTTCAGGTTTAGAGCTTCTGGGGTTTAGAGATTCGGGTTTCAGGTTTTTTGTTTTTTTTTTTTTTGGGGGGGGGGGGGGTTTGGGGAACCCATAGTCGCGCCAGGGCACACTTTCAAATGTGGACCGTGGCCGAAATACTCCTCGGAGACATTGATTGAAATAAGACATATCGTTCTGAGTATGAATCCATGCTCGTACCTGCACTAGCTTGCGCATTCGTGTTTGCTGTTGCATTATTATGGGTATGTTTCTCACAAACAATGAGTTCCTGAATTTCATTATCCAGTATTCTGACTCCAATGGTGAGTCTCGTGATCCAGCATCGATAGAGGACCTCGTACCTTCTTTTGCGGTAGGTCGAGATAACAGCCCCTGGTGAGATTCTTCAACTTGCTGCTACTTGGTGGGGGCTGTTGTGACCCTGTAGATCATAGACTAATGGAGGCGCATATCTGGGGGGGGGGGGGGGGGGCGATAAAAGCTACCTAAATCCCAAAAACTCCCTAAACCCGAAACCCTGAATCCCCCAAACTCTCTAAGTGAGACCTATTCAAAACGAAAGGGCCTTTGCCTTGTGGAATATAGGGGTGGGCATATTTCCTAGTTGTATTCCCTGATGGTCCCTGTATATCTATACTACAAATAAAACCCCCAAAACCCTATTCTAATTGAAAGGCCCCTGTGGTACCCTAGCTCCCCTCAGTCTCCCTCCCTGCACGGGTAGAAAATGGCAGATATGGGGGGGTTTGCGCTATTCTAACCCTAAACCCTAAACCCTAAACCCTAAACCCGAAACCCGAAACCCGAAACCCGAAACCCGAAACCCCAAACCCCAAACCCCAAACCCCAAACCCCAAACCCCAAACCCCAAACCCTAAACCCTAAACCCTAAACCCTAATTCTAAAAAAGGCCCCGATATCAGACCAGGGCACCTCGGAGCCGTCCGCGCGCTTCTGCGTGTGGTGCATGCCGAGGCCTAGAAGCAAGAAGCAAGCAACGTCCCCCCCCCCCCCCCCTTCCCCATATTGAGGGATCCCACAAGGAGGAGAAGCAAGAGCAACGATCGTCATTTTCTTACTTATCGACCATAAATATTGGCAATACCTTGTAGACATATCTTGGCTGTACTCAGGAGGGTAGCTATAAATCAAACTTTTAGCTGCCTTAAGAAGAAACCCAATGAACCCAAAAAAGGTAAGGATCTAAAGTTACAGGAAAGTACCACAAAGATATGATGCTTCCAACGTTTCAAACTCCTGAGGATGACCTTCTCAGCCAAGCTGCAGTGTCCGATCTCATGCATGATGCTGCCTCAGCAATCCGTCTCAGAATAGGGTTTGGGGTTTAGGGTTTAGGGTTTAGGGTTTAGGGTTTAGGGTTTAGGGTTTAGGGTTCAGGGTTCAGGGTTCAGGGTTCAGGGTTCAGGGTTCAGGGTTCAGGGTTCAGGGTTCAGGGTTCAGGGTTCAGGGTTCAGGGTTCAGGGTTCAGGGTTCAGGGTTCAGGGTTCAGGGTTCGGGGTTCAGGGTTCAGGGTTGAGGGTTTAGGGGTATGGTTCTCTTCTCTGCTGCGGTAGATTCCATCAGCCCCCACATAAAAAGATTTGTGGTTGGCTGTCTACAGCTTAAAGTTCTGGGGCCTTGGTATGCTAGGGGGCTTCTTACAGGTGTGATAACGAGCCCCAACTTTCGGTCGTAGGGCTGGGTCTATGGTTTAGGGTTTAGGGTTTAGGGGTTTCAGGGTTTCAGGGTTTCTTCGGGCCCAATCTTGGGTAAGCGATCAGTTTGGGTGGGGCAGCACAGGGCCCCACATGGATCCCACAAAGCATCCCTGACCTCAAAGGAGCGTGGCACATTCCCCGACTAGAAGGGCTGCCTTATTATGATGATTAGAATTGGAGCCTCCGAAATTCTTCCCAAGGAGCCTTTCTGGGACACGCTGTTGCACCACCCCATGAAAAGGCCAGTTGGGTTCCATTGGCCGACATGGGCCCCACCTGCAACAAGGTTGTGGTAGCCTCTGGGGCCAGGGCTCAGGTTTTAGGCTGTAGCAGCTTTCAAGGCCTTTCGGAGGTGTTTAGGGGAGGGGGGGGGGGGCTGAGCCCCTTCAGCTATTGAAAGGTTCGGGGCCACAGAACAGGCATTGAGATGCGGACCATCATGCCCCGGAGCAGAACAGCGGCGCGAAACAGCGTCGACACAGGGACTGCTTCGGACGAGAGAAGAGTCGTGTAGAGACCCTCTGGTACCCGTTCCCCAATGCACTGAAGAGGTCTCTCTCCGCGTCAGCTCTTGCAGCCAAAGTCGCAACCACCGCTCCCTCCATCCACTTTGATGTAGGCCCTTAGGGCTGCAGAAGGGCTCAGAGAAAGCTCTCAACTTCAACCCCCTGAGTCTTCCTCTTTGTTTTCGAGGTTTAGGGTTCCCAGGAACTGCTGAAGTCTCTTCCGCGCGCTTCAGGCGTAGCCGGCTTGACTGCGATTGCTGCGACTGCTGCAACTGCTGCAACAATTGCAGAAACAACAAGTACGACAAGCATGACTACTAGCGACGACATGCGCGGACTACCACCACTGCCACTACTTCTTCTACTGCCCTACTTTTCCTTATCCATTTTCTCATATTGCGATTATTGTTATTTACTGTTCTTGCGCATATCAAGCATTGTTTTGCTATTCATGCCGCCGAGGAGCATCGCTCCGGTCATCGTGTGGTCCTCGATCAAGGCAACACCTCAGGCTTCAGCATGGGCGCTTGGGCTGGTTCAGCGGTTCCAGGGGTCAGGGCTTAGGGCTTATAGGGCTTGGCGTTTTGGGCTGAGGGGGTTCAGGGGGGGACTAGGTTCCGGGAGGGAAGATCGAGGGCACAAAAGAAGGGCTTCTTGCACCCTTTGGTTGTGTGCCGCGCCCCATGACCCCCTCTCCTTTCTACGTGGTGGCTGAGCTCTCGAGCTTCGCCTGCTAAGACATCAACCCCTCTACCCTTCCCCCATTTCTGCATGGTTTCTGACACGTGCTTTGGCTAGAGGCCGGTGTAGGAGATTGGGGGGGCATAGGGTGAGGCTACGGGCTTTGGGTGCAAAAGACCCTTCGTCAAGCCATACTTCTCAAAAACCCTGGCTTCTGCGCCTTCACGCAAAGCCGGATTGACTGCCTATCTTTCGCAGCACAGTTGAACGCGCATGGAAGATCCCAAACCAGGAAACCCCTTTAATAAAAACCTGAACCCTAAGCCACAAACCCTAAAACCACGAACCCTGAAACCCTAACCGACAAACCCTGAAACCCTAAACCACAAGCCCTGAACCCTAAATTCTAACATCCAAACCCTGAAACCCCTCAATCACAAACCCTGAAACCCTGAAACCCTGAAACCCTGAAACCCTGAAACCCTGAAACCCTGAAACCCTGAAACCCTGAAACCCTGAAACCCTGAAACCCTGAAACCCTGAAACCCTGAAACCCTGAAACCCTAAACCCTGAAACCCTGAAACCCTGAAACCCTGAAACCCTGAAACCCTGAAACCCTGAAACCCTGACACCCTGAAACCCTGAAACCCTGAAACCCTGAAACCCTGAAACCCTGAAACCCTGAAACCCTGAAACCCTGAAACTCTCTCTCTCTCGGTCGCTGCAGAGGTAACTCCACATAGCGGCGCTGTGAGACATACAGTCTGGCACTGTGACCAAACCGGCTCATCGTGTGAGCAATTGGTGAAGGTTCCACATGACCGGCCCGAAAGGCCCAAGCATCATGTGGGGAGGCCTCATGTCTATATGTACACAAAACGGAACTACAAAAGAAGCAAAACGAGAATGCCGCATATCAAAGGTGAACCATTTGCACAAAACGAAGCAAGGAAAAAGACTTAGTGATAGTGAGCCGCACTTGCACATGGGGCATCAGGGGCATGCCAGTACCCATGAGAGCATAGGCACCAGTCAGAGCCGTAACGCGCAATTGAAGCACGTCCGTCACCCCACGCATCCCCTCGACGACCCCCACTCAGGCCTACCAATCCCAGGAGGGCGATAGACATGAGCTGCCGCGCACTCTCTGACTACTCTACAATGCCATTCAATGGTTCAGGGATTTGACGTGTCAGAAAGACAATGTAGCCTCGCTGGTCTACAAGTCCGCAAAACGATGCATGCTCCTCTTCAGTCCCAACCCTGACGAGCTGAGGTCTTGTATCGTCATCTTTAAGAACCCAGCCGTGTCCTGTTCGCAACAAAGCACGATAGTGGCCTTCATGACAGGAGCGCCCATCATGTATGACTATGGAGCAAACCCGATACGCATGCCAATCAACGTGCAGAGATGTTGGAGTGGTGAAGACTGGCATGTAGACATCCTGCCTTGTCACTCGGTACGTACGACCATCCTTGTTCCAACCTGAGTCATGTCGCTTAAAGCGAGGGAGCGCCAACACAACAAAAGGAGCAGGCTCCTGGAGGGCATACATCTCTCGCTGTGAGTGCCAACATGCAATGAGCGATTGCAACGTGTTTTCGGCCGCATCAGGCGGTGTGTGCAAGCTGATGGGCACAAGGGCGCAATATCCACCATCTGTGGTTCCCTCCACGCCGGCTTCAATTGTGCGAGCCTCCCACTTACCTGCCCAGTGCTGAATGCCGAGTTTATTATGTAGATACATGTAAAAGTCAGCAACGTCATGTTGTGTGTGCGGCCTCAACCATCCCAGCATCACGAAAGCGAGAGACCTGTACAGAGAGATGGGCTGTTGGTGCGCACACCGAAACACATGGAGAAGCGGCTGAATGGCATGTTGCAGTTGGGGAGGCAGGAATGCAACTGGGCTGGAGCTCAGAGCCCACACACAGGCTGTGATGGAGGCATTTATGTAGCAGTGGTTACCGGGGTTCAGGAGTCGCGCCTGCAGTATGGTATGGACGAGGTCCACCGGTGCTGTCGTGGTAGAGCCGGGATGGGCCCCCGAGACAGGATCCCGTAGAGCAGATCTGTCTTTCTGAGCTACCGATCGCGAAGGCGGTTCAGGATCTTTTGCAGCTCCTGACAAGCAGGGCTCCGCTTCATGCCCTCCGGCCGAAGCTGTGCTCCGATGAGGGACAAAGCCGAATGTCCACAGAGCAGCCTGACGCAATCGTAGAGCTCGTCCGCCTTGGCCCCGCGCAGCGAGACCTCGATGAGGAACACCGTGGTCGGCTTGGTCATGTTCTCCGTGATGGCCCGGGTTGCATGGCATCGAAGAAGTGTGACCGGCTCTTGGAAGCCGGCCCTCAACTGGCCCAGTAGCTCCACTGTCCGATCGAAGTCCATGGGAGCACGTTGCTCGTCCTTGACCAACCTTTGAAGCGCAGGGCTCCACTTCTCCATGATCCACTGGTTCTCGGCATTGAGGCGTCCTTGGTTCCTGACCGCAGTCATTGCCGCCGGCGTGTTCTTGAGTTCTGTGAGCCTGGCCTCCATCTCCATCAATATGCAGTCCATAACCAAGCACCTCAGAGGAAGCCGAACCTGGTCTGGGGTGGCCTCTCGCATCTCCTGCCACCTTTTCGTTACTTTGAGGAACGGGGCAATGATGCCCGGGGTCTGATTGGCCATGTGTAGGACAAAGGCCCGGTCTGACCGAGTGAGGTTGGAGTGGTCCTCTTGCCTGATCGCCATCTGGGCTACCAAGCGAACTGCCGTCTCCAGGTCCGCGTTGGTTTGCCTCTTGGCCGGCCGCTGTGTCCTGGTGCCTCGACTGGGTGGCGTTGCCGTAGATGCCGTACCGGTAGAGCGCGTTGACCGCGGCGACTGACTTTTCCTCCTTTTGTTGGGCGGGGTGGTAAGGAGTGGTGCTTCTGCCGTCTCCTGCATCCCCTCTAACTCCTCCTTGTTCCGTGCTGTGGCCACGCTGGGGAGCAAGTCCCAGAAGGCCTGTGCCTCTGCTGCTGCCGTCATCATGCGCTAGCGCAAGGGGTCTACGACTGTGAGCAGTCAGTGAAAGAGGAGCTTGGGCACTGCCGGGCCGCAGCAGAAGTTGCAACATGCATGCTTGAAAAGCAGCTGTACACTGCCTGTTATGTCCCTTTGAAGCGACAGGACACAGACAAGCCCAGCACGGTTGGCCTTTAGATGGCATGGAAAGAGCTAGACATCGAGCGCCCAGCCGCACAGCTGCACAGTGATGATCCTGCCACTCCTGCGCGTGTATGCGCTTCCAGTGTGTTTTTACGGCACGATAGTCAGCAATCCATTGGTTACACAGAGCACACCTTTGCATTAGGCGCCTGCGGAAGGAGCGTACTGTGCAGATGATGGTCCAGGCATCTGCGAAGGAAGATGATGATAGCAGGGCTCTGACATCTTGGTCCTGAAAAAGGGACCCATTGACCAAACTACAAGTTGCATCTGTCCTGACAGCCTGGCGGTCTGTGCTCTGAAGCTGAAAACGGGCCTCAGCCATTTCTCGGAGGCCTGGGCAGGCATGCTCGGCCACGTGTTGCTTGAACGGTCCCCAATGCGAAAACGACTTGCTGCAGAACCGGCATTGCGGCAGGCCTGCAACAGCGCAGGAGTGCGCATCAAGAGCAGCGCGGCCTGGCACGGCGTCTGGGTGCTTTTTGGCACGGTGTATGCGCATACCTCTGTCATCCAGAAAGTATAGGCCACACACAGGACACGCAACGCGAGTTAGTGCGGGTTCTGTTACCGGTATTACAGCTTGGGGAGAGCCATTGTTACACGTTAAGCCCTGGTAGTGGTCTGCTACAAGGTGCAGATGAGTCTCAACCCAGGTATCGGGGAAGGTTTTGGCAGTGGGCATGTGAGCCAAAGACCTGTAGCTGTCAAGAAGATTGTTACATCGTCGACTTAACAGGTAAAGGGGGTCCTTTAGGTCATGCTTCTGCAGCAGCGCCTCCGTGGAGACGCCAGTGAGGTGCACGGGACACCTGGTGATGGCTCGGACCTGTCTTACCATGGCCACTCTAAGCTCTTGTACTTCAGTCGGGGTCAAACAGCAGAGGTGCAAGCCAGTGAGAAAAACGGGCTGCAGGCATGCTCGCCAAAGCTGAACCTGTGACGCCTGGGTAAGGCAATGTTTCCCAGCAAGCAGCTTCCGCATCTGTGAGTATCGCGCTTTGGCCTGCGCAATGTTATGGCGCAGGGTGAGAGAGCCGAAATTACCATACGTCACTTCCATGCCCAGATACCTAAAAGACGTGCAAAGAGGGATAAGAAAGGGTTTAAAGCTTCCAAAACCCGGATGCGGTACGCGAAGGTGTGGCTTGTTCTGTATGATGGTGACATACTGCTTGCGTAGGGATCGCGCTTTGGGGCCGTGCATCAAGAGGAGGCACTTGGATTTGCCTGGGTTGACTTGGAGTCGCATTTCTGCAAGAAGGGCAAGAAAAGCACCCAGCTGAGTGACAGCGTGGTGCAGGTCTTTCTCAGCAGTCAGCATCCAAGACACGTGGTTATCGTCTGCGAATAGCGTTATTCCTGCAGTTGTTGCAGCCGATAAACATTCGCTTATTCGTCGATACAGATAGCAGGAGTAACATATCCAAAGCGTTGGTGCCAACGTGCACCCTTGTCTTATCCCGTTCGTAGTGCGGGTGCTAGCCTGCTCCGAGCCTTGAGTGAGGTTGTACTCGCAAGAAGCATGGAGGGCTAATATGACACTTACGATGTCCTCTGAGATCCCTGCATCTCGGAGCGCCATGCCGAGCATACTTCGGTCGGCTAAATCAAAGGCCTTGGAT